TGGGACAGGGCCCACTGTACCTCCGGAGGTACGGCTGAGGAGGGAGCTGCAGAGATAAGCATGGCTCTGCACCCCAGGAGCCGCTGGGGGGACTCTGACCACCACATCAGGGGAAGGGTCACCCCAAAGCCTCCCCTTGCCTGCTGGGGCCCAGCACTGCCCTGCGGCTATAACACCTATGAACTGAAGGACCAGAGCCCTCCTCCTGGAGAGAGGGAGGCTCACCAAACACTCTCTGGACTTTGCACATGATCCTAAAGGCGAGCTGACCTTGCAGTGAAGACGTCTGCCTGCCCACCAACACTAGGGCAGTGTGCTCAAGCAGGTTTTGTGACATCTGGGAAAATAAAGGAATGCAGTGCCATTGGCTGGATCTGAGTGTGTGCAGCAATTCAGGCTTGACAGATGGGTGCAGCAGCCTGCAGGTCCCACACGTCCCCAGGTGCAGCCTTTCCCCACTCTGATGCCACACTCACCATAGTTCCCTGTGGGCGTGGCAAGAGGACCCCCAGGCAGATCCATGTCTCCCTGTCAGTTAATTAGGCACTATATTTTATGCTTTGGTTTTATGAATTTGGACAGCTCAAATCAGTGTACAGGGGTTCACTCAACCCTGAGATGGTTAAAAAAAAAAAACCGAGTTTCTGAGCCACAGAATGAGGGGCAGACCCATCCTCAAAACACTTGATGAAATTTTTTTCTTTTGTCTGCCTTTGGTTGCTCTGTATTTTAACTTTTAAATTAATCTGAAATTTGCTTTTTGTTTAGGACTAAATTACTCTTTCTCCCCAACTGCAAGCAGGTTATTATCATGTGATTTGTGGAAAATACTTTTATTTATGAGTATTTGTGTTGCTTTATGAACCATATAGCTTATTCATTCATGAGCCAAGGTCTTTGAATTATTTATTGTTTCGTTGATTTGTCTATTCATGAACAATGACCAAATTGTTTTGAGCATCATATCCTGATAACATTAATAATTATAAAAACCAATCTTTTTATTCAAAGATGTATGTTGAACACTCATATTATTATTTTCACAGTTACTTCAGAACTTGTTCTATTTCTGAAATAGCCAGGAGGATATTGAAATGACCTACACTAAGTGTGTGCATTAATCTAGGAACAATTGATATTTTCACAACAGTCATTTTCTTATTCAGGGATATGATATTGTTCAAATGTGTATGTTATTTTTTGTGTACATTTTATATGCCAATGAAGTTTTGTAATTTTCTTGGTTGCAATCACACTGATTTTCCTTAAAAATGCTCCAAGGTGTTTTATGATATTTGTTGTTATTCTTTATATGTTTTTTCTCATTAAATCTGCTTATTGCTAGAGAGGTATGTAATTTAACAGCCATCTTATGGATGACAAAACTGGGGCTCAGGGTGGTTCATAAATTGTTCAAGATTTATGAAGCAATTAAGCCGGGGAGCAGCAGCATGAAGCAAATGAGGACAAACCCCGACACCCACACGAGTGTTTCCTTATTCTGCTCTGTGTCTGGGCTCTTGGCAGCCTGTGGTGTTGTGAGTGGGCCTGTTCCCTTCTCCCCTCCATGCTGACTTCCCTCCCGTGTCTCCGTGGAGACTGGCTTTCCTTCCCACTGTGCTGCACTTTCATCTCCAGCCCTTTCCAAAGTGCCCTCCTTTTCTGAGAATGCCTGCAACTCTGTCTCCCACAGGAAACGTTCATCATGCTCACCATCCTTGCCTTTCGTGTTTTCCTTGTGACCATTGGGGAAGAGACCTCAGTGAGCAGAATGCACAACCATGGGGCGGAGGTCTGAGCGTGGGGATCAGCTCAGAACAGGAGACCAGATCACAGATACCCGAGTCACCAGGCTACAGCCTGTGCAGCTGGACACGCTCGCCATCTGCTAGGGGTGCCTGGGGCTCTGCGGGTGTCCAGTTGGCTGTGGGGCAGGAGTGAGACTGGATACTCTGCTTCAGGTGATCCATCCAACTCACATTTGGTTTATACCCATGGAGCCACAGGCTTTTCCTAAAGGAAAGCTGTGGTGTGTGGCCTCCCGGACTGGCCACCCTCCCCTGGTTGTGATCAGTGTTCTGAAGCCAGTACCAGTGGTGGACAAATCCCACTTAGCGGTGATCTCACTCAGCCATGGCTTTTCACTCAGTTGCTCCTACGAGAAAGATGGACACAGCATGGTTATCCCACATCCATGGAACTTCCAGTTTTGGGAGACAACTTCTCTGGGTCCCTTTGTCACCACTCACAATTCTCTGTGCAATATCTTACCGCAATTCAGATGGATTAACTGAAGCATGGCAAAATGACAAGACTGGCCAAAGCCCACGGGGAAGCCGAGAAAGGGAAAGCTGGCCTCGAAAGCCGCAGACTGATGTCTGCTGGGGCTGCAGGTCAGCTGCCCTAGGTCTGCAGGCATTCAAAATGGAGCAGAGGCTCGGCCCCTGCCCTCCTGAGATGTGCCAGAGGCAGGCACCTGGGAGTGTAACTTGAAGGAGGAGCTAGAGGCACTGTGGGTCTGGTTCAGCTTCCCAGAGGGCCTCATAAGAAAGGTGTGGTTCAGAGGGAAGCCTGGTGAGGGCTTTGCGTAGAGAAGGGCAAGGAGGGCATTGTTCTTTCTTAGGAAGAGTCAGAAAGCCACTGAACCAGCACATGCTCTGTCCCCAGAAGCGGTGGCACTCTCACCTCACTCTTCCACCACCTGCCTCTGTAACCCAGTTGAAGCCACTTTCCCCTCACAGAAGTCCTGTCACTGACTTCCCAGAAATGAGGATAGGCACGTTCACCACTTCAGAAGAAAGGACTCTATAAGCACAAATGATGGGAGACTCTCAGCCCCAAGAAAGATGTTTTTCAAAAGACCAAAGAGGGTAAATAACAAAAGCACGGATGGTGTGAGGTCCAGGCGCTATTTTTAGGGTGGTTCAGGACAGACGGAAGATGGAAGAGGTGATGCTGGCTGCCGGTCCTGCTCCGTTTTGGTCCTCACCCCCGGAAAGCACTGAATCCTTGATTGTTTGGTTAAAAACATCCCAGAGTGGATTTTGTTGTTAGCTGCTCTTGATCTTTTAAAATTTCCTGCATGTGCTATTGACTGCACCCCCGGCCTTGATAGAAATCCAGACAAAATTGTCAGCCTATGAGCTGTGGCTTTGTCATCAGCAGGCTCAGCCGTTCTGGCGACAGGGGCAGGAGGCTGCGGGGCAGGAAGTCGGGCTGTGAGCCAAGCCTGAAGTAACTGGAGAACAGCCTCAGACCCACCCTGGCCTCTCGTCTCTCCGTTCCTGCTCCTGCACCGGGCAATGGATGATATTCCTACGTAGGAAACCAGAGGAGAAATTCTGCCGCAAGCACAAAACGGCCTTACACAGTGAGTTATCAGAAATGCCACTAAATGTTGCAGGTGTGCATTTGCAACTTTAAGGAACACGCGGCCCCGGGCTTCACTGGGCCCCTTCACCATCCAGCCCTATACCTGAAAGGTGGGGCCTACCAAAATGCAGATGGATGAAACCACCACAGCCGGATTTCTCCGTGTGTCCTAACTTCTGCATAGTCTAAGCTGAGTTAGCCTCACTCTAAGGAATGGCATGATGCGAGGTTCTCCTGGAAGGAGGGGGTTATCTTAAGACCCTCTGGATCTAAGTGGGGCCTAGCACATGACTGGCACCGACTGGTGAAGGAGAAAGAGAAATGGTGAAGGAGAGGAAGGGAATGGAGGAAGGGGAGAAAGGGAGAGGCAGGAAGGCGAAACCAGAAAACAGGCAGACACGAAGCAGAAGACCTTCACCCACCCAAACACAAATCTCCAAGCCAGAGCACTTCAGCAGCCGGCAGGGCTGGAACCAAAGGGGTCATAGCAGGAGGTGGCCTGAAGCAAAGGAGTCAAGAAGAGAGGACGGTGAAGTCACTGAGGACGTCTCATGCTCCCTCCATCGAGGCCTCAGTCACAGAGGCCTTCTTGCTGCTGAGTTCCTAAAATGGAAGAACCACAGCGTGGCAATGACTCGGAAATGTTTGCTCACGGCATTTAACAAGAGTGGCTCACGCCTGTAATCCCAGCACTTTGGGAGGCCAAGGCAGGCAGATCACAAGGTTAGGAGATCGAGAACATCCTGGCCAACATGGTAAAACCCCGTCTCTACAAAAAATACAAACATTAGCCAGGAGCCAGGCGTGGTGACCTGTGCCTGTAATCCCAGCTGCTTGGGAGGCTGAGGCAGGAGAATCGCTTGAACCTGGGAGGCGCAGGTTGCAGTGAGACGAGATCACGCCACTGCACTCCAGCCTGGCAACAGAGCAAGACTCCATCTCAAAAAAAAAAAAAAAAAAAAAAAACCGGACGCATTTTTGCCATTCATTTCTTAGCATGCAGACTTCATCAAAAGCAGCATTTAACTCTTCCTCTTCCTCTTTATCTCCCCAAGGGATGCATTATGATCTACAGCTCTACCCTTAGTCCTGAAGGAAGTTAGGTAAACTCTGGAGTGGGAAGACTGGTGTTTCTGTCTCCTCAGCTACGTAAACACGCCTTCAACTGTTACATGCTGCAACTATAAAATAAAGTTTTATAACAGCCCGTTTCATGTTTCACAGCCCGGCTTGCATTTCAGTTTGTGGGAGGGTTGCGGAGGGAGGTGGGCCGGGAACTGGGGAGAATACACACGGGGAGTTCATCAAGGTGTAGTTTAACGGTAACTGTTGAAATAAAAGATGAGAGGAATACCAATTTCTGTGAAAGGCAGACGTTAACACAGCCCTGTCAAAGCTCCAGACGGATATTGGCATTGAGTATGTGCAAGGTGGGCTCCCATGACAGGCCACCCCCTAGCATTCCTCATGACCAGTTGTACAGTTATTCACAAGACAAGACGAGTGTGAGGTGCCTCCTCTGAGCAGGACACGATGGAATTTGCCCCGTCTTGTGTGAACCAGAGTCTCTGAAACTCACCCTTGAGTTAGAAGAAAGGTAATCGAATCAGAACACCCCTGAACAGCACTGTTTTTTAAAAAAATCTTTTATTTTAGCAGAATCTCCCAGTGGCCATTCCGACTAAGAAAAAAACTGAAGAGACTAATCTTCATTTCCATGGCTAGAAATACAATTTGAGAGCACATTTTACCTAAGGGTATTAAATTATTTGACTACTCTGAAAACCTTTCCCAAACCTTAAGGATTTTAAAAGGAGGGAGTGCCATTGCCTCTGCTTCACAGAGGGAGAAACTGAATGAGAGGAACAGGAGTTTAGACAAGTTCACCCAGCATTCATTTGAAGGAGTCAAGGTTAAACCTCAGCATTCCCAACAACGCAAATTTGACAGTACTAGAACCTCAGGAATTCTAATTTCTAAAGATCTACTTTATCGAAAGGTAAAAAATATAAAGAAAAATCTCCCAATATAGAAAACTGGGATCCCAACAGTTAAATATATGTTCTGCGTGTGTACAAAGTCAGAAGTTTAGAAAAAAGGCACGTCAGAAACTGTGACCTCCCTTGCCAGTGTAGCTCTCATGAGTAGCATAAATAAAGTGCCTGAGAATCCATTTTAAAGAATTATTTAATCTCTTGTAAGTCTGGAGTTAAGTATTCTGAATTCAGTGCAAACTCGTCTATATTCTTGTTGAGAATACATTCATTTACACTAATGTCAAACTTCTAAGGCCCCAGCATCTACATAGTTTTGGAAAATTCTTTCATGCTAGAACCAGAGAAGTCTCAGGCTTCCTTTACAGCCACGATTCCTGGTCACCCTGACACTGAAAGTGTCAAGTTTTGAACGTGAACAGAGTTGGTCATTTTATCAGTATTTCAGGACTCAGCAGGTTTTTTCTTTTTTCTTTTCTTTCTTTTTTTCTTTTTTTTTTTTTTTTTTTTTTTTTTGAGAAGGAGTTTCGCTCTTCTTGCCCAGGCTGGAGTACAATGGTATGATCTCAGCTCACTGCAACTTCCACCTCCCGGGTTCAGTCAATTCTTCTGCCTCAGCCTCCCGAGTAGCTGGGATTACAGGTGCTCGCCACCACGCCCAGCTAATGTTTGTATTTTTAGTACAGACAGGGTTTCACCATGTTGGCCAGGCTGGTCTCGAACTCCTGATCTCAGGTGATCCACCCGCCTTGGCATCCCAAAGTGCTGGGATTACAAGCACGAGCCACCGTGCCCGGCCCTGGGACTTAGCTATTTCTCACCACAAATCCAAAATCTGAAAATTCTCGTTTCAAAGAACTAGATTTGTTTGTGTTCATGCCAGCAATTTTCTAAGCTGAAGATGCTTCCTTGCTGTGCACTGAGATGATATGTAGGTCAACTTGACTGTTTTAATCAACTACAAGCTCATGTAATTTTCTGTGTCACAACAGCTTTCCAATATAATACTCTTATCTCTGAAAACACTGTATTTTAAAAACAAAACAAAACAAAAATTGGTCATTGATTTTTAAAACACAAAGAAACTCTCCTGTTATGTATTTTTTGTAATTTAGTAAAAGTGAGCACTTGGGAAGAGCTCCCTGCAACACACGATGGCCCTGGTGAGGCCTGCGATTCACATTCTGGGCTGTCAGCTCTGATCTCACAGTGCCCACAGCACTTGGCCACCACCGCTTCCTCAAAAGAAGCATTTAACTCTTCCTCTTCCTCGTGAATGCATCAGTGGCTAACCGGAGAGTGCGCTCAGGGGCCCTTCATGGAGTCTCTGTGGGGAAATCTGATTGTCTCCACGTCGCAGAGGGATTTGTGGAGGTCCAGGATCGGGTGGGCTGCCCCATGTCACACGGCTTGCAAGTGGAATCCTGTCTGAGAGGCACCAGATCCCATCCTCTTTCCACTGTATTGCTTTTCTATGCAATGGAAGAAATTGAAGTACACCTTTCATCAGGTGTCCGCCATTGGCTCCAGTTTGATTTCTGAGTCTAATCTACATTACATATAAACCCATCTACCTAATCCATATTATAGGTAGAAATACATCCTTCACCGGCCTCATCTCCTTCATCCCCAATGCCTCCCAGGTTGAATCACAATGAGCCTGGCTCTGCAATTGGCTCTTAGCTGTGGTCTCTGCAATTCCACCCTTGCCCTCTGCCCCTATAAGCATTCACCACCCAGCACCCAGCATGATTTCATAAACACGTAAATAAATCCATCACTCTCTGCTCAGTGCTTTCTGGTGGCTTCCCAGGCCCTCAGAAAGAAACCCAGATTTCTTAGTGTGCCCTTTGTACCCTCTACTGAAGCACACACATGACCCCAGCCACTCGTGCATGAATCTGATACAAAGGGCCATCTCATTCACCACGCTCCACATTCTTTGCATTCCCAAATGCTCCAACCTCATTCGCACCTGGGGACCAGTCTGTCCCTGCCTGGTGTCTTCTGGCTTACTTTCATGCCATCCGGTTCTCAACTAAAATGTTCTCATGGAAGCAGAATGGTCTGGAAGCCAAGTCCTGTGATTTTGCATCACATCCTCTTGCCTTCTCTTCTTCACTGCACTGTAGCTCTCTGACATTGGCACTCTTTCCCTCCATTCACTGTTTCCCACCATGCACCGTCAATTAGAATGTTGGCTCTCTGCAAACAAGGCTGTGTCTGCTCCAGGACTGAACTGTAGTTGGAAAAAACAGATGTAAAACTCACCTGCTGAATTTCCTGATGCTCCATAGGACTGTCCTCCCAGCACTGGACCAGCCTCCTCCCCTCTGGGTGGTCTCTTCTCCAGGTCAAATGTGCCTTGTGTGTGAGCTGTCCCCCATGCCACGTCTAAACTCTACCCCATGTGAGGGCCCCCTGAACTCTGCAGACTCCAGATCTGAGCTCAGCCCTGCAAATGCCACATAACTGGACGATGTGACTCCAGGGAGAGCCTTGAACACATGGAAAGGGGCCCAACATTAGCAAGAGGAGCCCGGTTCTGCAGAAAGCCTCGGTGCAGTTCAACTAAGATGGCTATAGTCCTTTCACTGCCCCTCACCCTTCACTCTACCATTGCTGGGGCCGGGGGTCCTGGATGGTGGGAGCTCTCTCTGCCCCAGCTGCTCCAGCCAGATCCTCCTCTCCCGGCCTCATCCACACAACCTCCAAACCTCCATGAGTGGCCTTATTGGCGAAGATAAGACTCCAGGCTCAGAGGAAAGCACCTACTCTTAAGGCTGAGAACCAAAAGCAAGGGCTTCTCTCCAGGAATGCGCCCCTCAGAGGGAAGGTTCTAGTGAGGCAAGGAGTGCCAAGCTCACCCTTGGAAGGTTTCTATAAACCTCTGGCAGGCCTCTTCTCACTTCTCAGGAGGTGAGCTAATTTCTTGGTTGAGTCAATGTAGTAGAAAGTCAAGATGGTTTGATATCCATCTGACTCGGAGTCAATGTAATTTGTCAATTCAGAAAACTCAGTCTACGACAGGATTCGTGATCTGGTGAATTTGACTTTTCTGCCTCAACAGCCACGTGTGGCAAATGCCCCCTCACTCTTGGTTTCTGAATTCTCCTATCTAGGAACTGGAAAGGCCCTTAGGTCTCAGAATCTACCTTATACTGTAGAACCCATGGACGAGTCCCCCTGAAAAAGGCAGGATGGCACTGGGAGCCCAGTCTCCTGGGTCCTGGCCACGGCTCTGCCTCTACCCACAGGAGGTTCCGCTCTGATACTGCACATCTCTGCATCTGTGATCACAGCATAGTTATACCCTGTGACTTCTGAGGCTACTTTTAGCTCTGGGATTTCATACTCAGGATTTATAGTTGTAACTGGTTTGAGGCCTACCTCCTCAATGAGGTCTTTTTGATGGCCCTGTCTAAACATGTCCTTGTCTCTCCTCTGTGGCTGCACACTGCTTGCTTCCTTCACACCCTCACCTGCCCTACCATGACTCACCCCCTCCATGTTTGCACTCTCCACCTCCTGCGTGGTTCTCCAGGCACCAAGATGCCAGGGAGCCAGTACTCTCCTTCAAGGCCACAGCCCCAGGACCCAGCACAGTGTGCCTGGCACCAAGGAGGTGCTGGACATTTGCTGAGTGAACTGATTATAGCCTCTACCTCTGAGGATGCATTTGTGGGAAAGGGCAGTTCACCCTTCACAAGGCTGGGTATGCTGTGTGTGAGCCTAAAATATCCAGATTGAGCTCAAATCAGCCTCAGTCCAGTTTGGTCTCAGGTCTAACCATTGACTCTTCTAACCTTATTAGCAATTACTCAAATTAAAAAAAAAAAAAAGCATAGAGTTTCTTTAGAATCCTCTTTTAAAATCCTTCCCTTTTAATTTGGAATATAGTGGCTTGGGAGAGCTGGAAGTCGAAAAACAAAGCGATTCATTCTCTGGCCAAGAAATGTTCAGAAGCAACAATGGTCATGTTTATACTACCATGGCAAAAAGAGAATGCTTAAATTAAACCATTACTGATTTAAATTCATGAACTAAGATAATTGATATTGAATATTGAAATTAAAGACTGCATTTGTGTTCTTAAGTCTGCCTGGTGGAGAACATTTGAGTAATATTTGTCTTTAAAGAGTACGTGGGTGATGAACCCTGAAAATAGCCTTCCTTCTATATCAAATATGACTTTAACAAAACAAGTTGGACTACATTCAAATCTGCTTACATAAATGGAGTTTGTAATTTTTCTTAATGATTTGAGATTCTATAGTAATTTCACGGCCACATGTGGATTTGAAGAGATATAAGCTTTACAAAAATCTAACATAAATTAAACTTCATTCTATATTTATTCAATACATATTCTTGTTTCAGGAGAAAATATTTACTGGATGATACCTTTGTGAGAACCATTCTCAGTAGCAGATTGTTATAATGACATGGTTTCTTGCTTTAACAAAAAATAAATGGTATCATTTAAAAAAGAAAAAGAAAAAAAAAGCTCTCCCCATTGGTGGCCTGGGAAGGGAGCACATGGTGACGCTCAGCAGCTATCTCAGCTGCAGCCCTCCTGGCAGGGTGGGGTGGAAGGCAGGCAGTTCTCTGCTCTGAGGCTGCAAATGTGGAGGCAGCAGAGCCCAGGGAAGTCAGGTGCCCTGGCCGCTGCCCCTGTACTCCAGCCACTGTCCTGGGGGCAGTGAATGCTGAGACAGGGTCCAGGTGGAAAGCTGGAATCGCTTGGATTTCCCCAGAGCATCCCTTGTCACCATGTCATATTCTGCCAGGCAGCCTACAGCATCCAACAGCATCTCAGAAATGGGGACTGTCTGGGGTAAGTGCACGTTTTTTGTGTGTATTTGGTGTGTTTGGTTTATTTTAATTATTTTAAGCTCAAAGTCGAACTCTACTCTCCCATCCTCCTGAGCTGTCATTTATGGAAATCGCAATGTCCCCACAGGACCTGTGTGTGAAAAGATAAGGCCATGTGAGAAGAACTTTGCCCATGGGCACCCCTCTGCGGGCTCAGCCAATGTAGGACTCTGTGTTCACCCTGCCCTGTGGCACAGCCCTCTCTGGCACTAGGTGACCTTGGGATGTTGTCCTCCTGCTCTCCAGTCAGCCTTGCACTCTCCTCTCAACTCTGAGGCCAGTAAAGGAAGGGAGTCCACTTGAGTGGAAATGCCGAGGGCGTGGCCCCAGGGGCAGATCAGAGCAGGCCAGCCGCGTGTACAGAGCTCCGAGTCTCCAGTGGGGCCGGGCAGTTGGCAGCTCTAAGCGGCCCCCGCGGAGCGCCCATCCTCTGTGGTTTAGAAGCACGTTTGCCTCACATGGCAAGCACTGCTGCCTTTGTTCTCCTACAACTCCTCAGGGGCTGAGCCCTTGGGAATGAACATGCACAATAACAGGTTGCAGAGGCCTGAGGATTGTTTCTGACAACAGCAGCTCTCTGTGACCGTGGCTCCCAACTGCATCTTCCCCAGGTCCTTTAGGCACAGACCTGGGGAGGCGGTCACCCCTCAAGTAAGAGGGCAACAAAAACTAAATGAGTCAAGCCACCCCACCCACCACCCTCCCCCTGAGGCAGGTGCATGTTCTCAGCCCTTTGACAAGGCTTCCTAGAAGTTAGTCCCTTTATGCAAATCGGCCTCCCCCTCTGGCGTGCGTGTGTGTGTGTGTGTGTGTGTGTGTGTGTGTGTGTACACAATGGCATTGACCTGAAAGTAAAATCCAATAGGTAAGAAACACCCTATTCCAACCATGACAGACCCTTCCCCCAATGCACGTGGGTGGAGCTTGGTCACCATCCCCAAGATTTCTGGCTCTCAGTCTCAAAATGTGGGCTTAGCAATGTATGGAGTAGCCTTTCCAAGTATCCCCTATAAGCAAAGACAGTCTAAAACCAACATAAAAATGAGTGTGCATGTGGGTTGAGAGTTTTCAAGATCCAGGACGGCGCATTAAAAAGACCTAGAAAGCTTCAGCAGTACTGAGGCCTGGCCCCACCACAGACCAGTAAAAGCAGAATATCTGGGGAGGCATCAGGCATCTTTATTATTTGAACTCCTCAGCTGATTTTAACAGGTAGCCGGGGTGGAAAATTCTGGGTCAGGCCTTACAGAGACTGGAGTCCATGGCTCCTCCAGCTAGCCTGATAACAATTCTATCCACACAGGGAACCATCCTGTCCCCACACACTGCGTGTCATCCAGCCAGTGGTTCTCAGGCTTTGATGTGTGTCCAAGTCACTTGGGAGGATCATAAGGACCACAGAGCCCCAGGTTCCTTGGAGTGGGTGGGACTCGGGCCTGGGGATTTCTCAGAGCTCCCGTGTCAGTCTGATGCCCATCGGAGTGTGATCACCAAGGGCCTTGTCCTTACAGAGAGTAGAAGGTGGTTGAGCAAGCACAGCAATTGATGGCAGTGCTCCTTGCCTGTTTCACAGTAATACCAGCCAGGAGCCAGCTGAGCCTCCTGCAGAGGTGAGCCAAAGAGAGCCCCCCACTCTTTCACCTCCTCCTCCCACACACACCAGAGATCCGTTCTGGAGCTGTGCCTGTGCAAAACCCAGTTTCCTCAGCCATTGCGGGCTGGGGTGGGCTTCTGTGCTCTCCACCTGTCATCCCAGGAGCACTGTCCCAGGCTCCACCTGACTCAGGGAAAGGTCTGTTTCCTGTGCTCTGAAATGCTGGGTCTCCAGACACTCCATCCATGAAACAAACAAAATAGTATGAGTCTGTGTTCTCAAATGGGAAGGCCCCAACACACTCTGCCTCCTGGCCCCTTGAATTGGTGCTCCCCACCAGGCCCACCACGCAGGCTCTGTGGTCCATGAGGAGACAGGCTCATGATGGGGCCTCCTCCCAGGAGACCAAGCTCCCAAGAAACTTCCCCTCAGACCCAGGGCTCTGAGCTGGGTAATGTCTAAGGAGAGGCACAAGAATGACTGGTCAGGGACTGGAGTCTCTGCCTGGCCTACCTAAGGGTATCCTCAGCTGCAGGTCCCCTTACTCAATGAACAGAACAGGGAGGGGATGCCTCTGAGCATCCACCCCTGAAGCCTATCTGTCTCAGTCTGGCCACAGCCCCTCCAGCACCTGAAATGTTAACTCTGCTTCCTTCTAGAAAGCCTGAGGCCATGGAGGAGGCTGGGCGGGGGCAGGTGTGGATAGGTGGACTCTGGCCAGACAGGGCCCTAAGGTGCCGCCTTGCCTGGGTGCCCAGCCCTGATTCTGG